GAGGGAGTGGTGCAGGGTTGAGGGTAATGCTGAGGGAGTGGTGCAGGATTGCGAGTAATGCTGAGGGAGTGGTGCAGGATTGAGGATAATGCTGAGGGAGTGCTGCAGCATTAGGGTTGAGGGTAATGCTGAGGGAGTGCTGCAGCATTAGGGTTGAGGGTAATGCTGAGGGAGTGCTGCAGGGTCAGGGTTGACGGTAATGCTGAGGGAGTGCTGCAGGGTCAGGTGCTGCCATCTTTCCAGTAATACATTTAACTGGGACCACCACCTCCCACTCGTGTGGAGGAGAAGATCCCACTGGCAGCTGGTGGAAGAAGAGCAGAGGAATTCTCCCCAGTGTCCTGGTCAATATTTCTCCCACAATCCACAGCACAAAAACAGATTGTCACGTTGTTATCACCCTGCTGTTTTGGAAGTTGAAAACTGCCTTTTCTGTTTCCCATGAGAAAGGAGTATACAGTGAACAAACTACTTCATCGATGTAAAACCTACAAATAAAACTCACCCAAGCCATCCTTATCCACTCTGGCCCCCAGGTGACTCCAGACCCCCAGCAATGTGGGTGATTATTAACTGCCTGCTGAAGTGGCGTTACAAGTGTCTCAGCTCAAAGGTAGTTAGAGATGGCCCCGCCAGCAACACCCACACCCCACTAAAGAATAAATTAAAATGCTTTGGGATGTCCTGACATCCTAAGTGGCTAAATGTAGATTTTTTGCTTTCCTTGTGAGTTGTAACAGTTTAATTATTTTTGGTTTACTCCCCTGACACATGAAAGCTGCCAACATAAACAAGTTCCACTCTCTTCCTTATTCATGTCTGTGCTGGTTCTTTGAAAGAGTTATTTGTTGAATTCCACTTCCATCTTTCCAAAAGGGAGGGTTTTTTTTTCCCCTTTATGTCATTATCCAATTCCTTTTTGGAAAATTCCTACTAAGTCTGCTCCCACTATCCTCTCAGGCAGCAGGTAGTTCCAAATCACATTCACTTTGTAAAGTACAAACAGATTGGGTCTGGGCTGTCACTCTCAATGCAATACTGAGGGGGTGTTGTTAAAACAACATCCCATTTGCCCCCTCAGGTGGATATAAATGATCCCAAAGATAAGCCAGGGAATCATCCTTGGTGTCCAGAATACTGTTTATCCTTCAACCCACACCACTTAAATAGAAGATATGATCATTATCACTTTGGTATTCATGGGAGCTTGCTGTGTGTACATTGACTGCTACATTACAAATGTTATCGCCCTTCAGTGTCACTCCACTGCCTGTAAAGGATGAAACCCGGAAGGTGCTATGGAAATTGAAGTCTTTCTGATCGCACATTCCTGAAGCCATGACACAGCCTCTGGCTACCCTGTTTGTTTTTGGTATGAGGTTTGGAGCTGGTTTACAGATTAATTCCACGCACTCAGGGTCAGTCCAGTACTGAGAGCTCTGAGCTATTTGTGACAAACATCAGCCTGCCCTTTGCCATTGACACCATTAAGGTCTGTCAACTGACCACCCAAACCACCTGTCCTTTGGTCCACTTTCTCTCATGCAGTGGTCAATGCACCAGGCCCTGCTCCTCTCTCACACAGGCCCCGTTGGCAGTGCAGTTAGGAACCAGTGGACAAAAAGATTTTACACAACAGACAAAGGAAACAGAGAAGATAGTGAGTTTTTTTGTTTTTAATCACAAGTTGTGATTTGGAAAATGCTGCCTGTAAGGGCAGTGAAAGCAGACTTAATAGGGATTTACAAAATGGATTCGGATAGCAGCAAAAAGGAGAAAGAAAGCTTTCCTTTTGGAAAGAGGAGGTATGTGGGATTAAACGTATAACTCTTCCAAAGAACCAGCACCAATATGAAATGGGCTGAATGGCTCCCCGTGCTTTATTTTTCTGCGATCGATTCAGATTGTTGTCTCTGTACAGGAGAGGTGCACTTTTTGGAATGGGACTTTCTGTCTGCAGTGTCCATCGGGAATAATCCCACTTATTAGTTTTGGGAAAAAGGCCGTCTGGTCGGTGCCTAAATCATGGAAAGTTGGTTAGGAGCAGGGAGGGGCAAATAAGTGTAAGTCAAGTGGGAGCACTGAAATGAATGTGAGGAAAGGATTGTGCATGAAAGAGAAAATAATTGAGTTATACAAGGAAGGAGGGTTGGAAGGACAGACAAATTAAACCCTGCTTTGACAATAGGGAGAGTTCCCACGAAGACTGCCCATTAAGAACTGGGACTGCATTGAGGCTGATGGGCAGAGGATTAGCCTCCAGTAACTTGGTTGACTAATAGATAAGTTTAATCTGAGGGTGCAATGCCGTTGTGGCTACATCAGAGAACAGTAATGTGGGGTCCTGGACCAATGATTTGGAAATATGAGTTCAAATCCCCCCTGGGCAGCTGAGGAATTTAAGTTCAATTCTTTGAATATACCTGCAATTGAAAAGTTAGCATTGAGCATGATGATGATGAAACAGTTGAATTGTCGTAAAAGCCTGACTGGATCACTAATATCCTTTAAGAGAAGGAAATCTGCCATCCATACATGATCTGACCTACATGTGACTCCAGACCCACAGCAAAATTGATGCTTCATTGTAAAAGGACATTGTAAAAGACTAGGTTTTATTCAACATGCTGGCTCGCTGCCACTTTCTGGGTGAGATGAGTGATAGGCATTAACTACCAACCTTGCCAGTCATGTCTACATCCTGTGAATAAATGAAGATCATTTCTACCTGCCGTTCTTTTCCAGACAAACCAGAGAACAGGAGACGCCACCAGATTTCTTCTACTTTTCAGATTTCGAGCGACACAACTCCGAGATTGCTGCCTTCCACCTGGACAGGTAAGGGCCGTGGTGAAAGAGAGGATTGTTTGAGATGGCTCCTTTGTTCTCACCATGATGTAATGTCCTCACTTCTCTCCTCTCAAAGAATTCTGGATTTCCGCCGCGTGCCACCTGTTGCCGGGCGACTGGTTAACATGACCAAAGAAATCAGAGACGTGACCCATGACAAGAAGCTCTGGAGGACATTCTTCATCTCCCCAGGTATGGAATACGATTTACCTGGGCCCTCACTCCCACTTCACACCTTCATGTTGCAGCTTTCACAGTGAAGTTCCTTCTAATGGGGGTGGGGGTGGGGGGGGGGGAGCGGTGCGGGGAGGTGGTCAGCGAATAGACTGACCATGAGCACGAGGAGAGGAAACAGTCATCGCAACAGCCTTGGGCTCAGAACCGCAGCCAAGACTTGAGCCTATAATCCAGGCTGACCCCTCCCTGTGGGCTTTACCCATCTCAATTCAATCTCCTCAGAGCCTTCTTTTCTCTGAGGAGAACAATCCCAGCCTGTCTTGTCTCTGGGCTCACTGAAACTCCACATTGCCGGTATCATAAGTGTCCACTGTGCTTTAATGTGTAGCGTCCTCACCTCTGAGTCAGAAAGCCTCAGCCTATAAACAAACATAACATTCAGATTGAATCTGCCTCACTTATACTGGAGGAGCGCTGCACTGTCAGCGGTTCAAATGAGGGGTTAAACCACTATCCTGTCCTGTGAAATCCCTTTATCATTATTTCCAAAGAGAGCTGTGGAGGGGAATGTCTTGGTCAATATTGATCTCTCGTTCTGACAGTCTAAACCCAAATCATGAGCCAAATATTTACTCTGCCTCTGACTCAGCTCAAAGTGACACAAGGCCAGTGGAGAATCACACTATCAGTGAACACGGATCCAAGAATTGCAGCTCTGCACTGTAGGACTAACAGCAGAAGGAACTCTTTCCAGGGTTAATGTCCCCATTAGGGACGCAACATTCACCCTTTCAAGAGAGGTCAGATGCTAGCCTGGTGTTGGACAATGGTGTTGGTTGGGGTGGACACGTAGAGAGTGAGGTTGGGGTCCCCTGAGGTTTAGGACTGAGCCACATTGCAAGGTGAAAGTAATGGGAGCTTTACTCCACAACTAACAACATTAAACCTCACAGACAGGTATCGGATGCCCAGTTCGTTTGTTCAAGTTAGATCTCCTTTTTCATAAACACCTGCTGCCCCTCTGGATTGTTTGGAATGTTTCCTCTAATATTTTTGTTCAACGAGTTGCAAAAGAATAGTTACAGAGTCTGCCAAGGTAAAGAAAATATTCAATTTATTTAAGAAACATCGAAGGGTGGCTTAAACTTTCCACAAAGCTGCAAGAGGAAGCAAAATCATGTGATGTCATATCACTTCCTGTCATGATGTAAACTACCACTTTATAGGTCACACAGTCAGGCTTAACCCTTCAAAGTGTTCTCATGGAGTTTGAGTCCTTTGTTCAGGCGGTAATGCTGGCGATACACAAAACAGTATTATAGTTCAAAGTGCTTGCTTCAAGATAATAGTGAGATTCGTTAGTACAAAGTCCTTATGGCCATTCTGGTCAGTCCTTCGCTTTCCCTGAAGATTGCTTCCGAAAAATTTCAGCTGTGATGTCCCAACTTGCCTGTGATACCCTTGAATCCGACAACTTAAGGGTAATTTGCATCGATTTACCCACAGTTTGCTGTGATTCTGGAACACACTGCTTGTACATAATCTGAGATAACAAGGTGTAGAGCTGGATGAACACAGCAGGCCAAGCAGCATCAGAGGAGCAGGAAAGCTGACATTTTGGGTCTAGACCTTTCTTTTTCTGAAGAAGGGTCCAGACACGAAACGTCAGCTTTCCTGCTCCTCTGATGCTGCTTGGCCTGCTGTGTTCATCCAGCTCTACACCTTGTTATCTCAGATTCTCTAGCATCGGCAGTTCCTACTATCGCTGGTACATAATCGCATTTTTTAATTAAAACTTGCAAATTCATTTGAAATGCCACAGCCTACAGGACTATACACCAAGTGCTGGAAATTGGGAATAAGTTGAATGGCTCTCTTTTGGATAAGCAGGACTAAATGGGCTCTTCTGTAAATATTTATATATTTTATGACTTGTAAATGTTGACATGTTTGTACATCTCTTTTCGTCCACCAGCCAACAATGTGTGCTTCTACGGAGAGTGTTCCTACTATTGTTCTACCGAGCACGCTCTGTGTGGGAAGCCTGACCAGATCGAAGGCTCACTGGCTGCTTTCCTACCTGATCTGGCGCTGGCTAAAAGGAAAACCTGGAGGAATCCATGGCGACGGTCTTATCACAAACGCAAGAGAGCAGAGTAAGTTCAAGTGACGCTGGTTTGAGTATTGCTGCAAAAAAGACACATTTCATCGATGCTTTTCTTCTCACACCCATCAGGACAACTCACAAGAATACCAATTCAAGGAAAAGCGATGAGAGTGTGAGATGAGCATGCTGATTGGTTGCAAGTGGACTCTGGTAGAGATGTTGCTATGAGGAATACACCTACCGATGCTGATTGACAGTTAACTTCCAGGCTTTGTTTAAATGTTAAACTGGGCAGGTTGACTCTGAGTTTCTCAGGGCAAGGCTCTGATCTTTCAAAGTCAACCTGTCTAGTCCTTACAAATTGTCCTGAAAAGTGGAAGATGAAAAGCTTCAACAAATTGTGTCTTTTTTCAACAACACTCAAGCATTGCATTACCAAATGGCTCTGAGGACAACTTTTCAAAGGTGTAAAGTGTTTTTTAAAGGTGGGGTAGCATTGTGTTAAAGCAGTTTGTTAAAGGGATAGCTTCTCTTTAAGGTCCATGGTAAGAGTTGTCTGTTGAAGGTAGTCCTTTGAAGAATCATAGAAACAGTACAGTAGTTCCACCTACCAATGTATTTGTTGAAGAAATGGTGCCTCTTTGAAAATTGCATTGACAGATTCCTCACTGTCTTGCATCAATCTATTTGGTGTCAGAAAAGGTCAGGAATATGGGATTTAGCATTGTGCACATTGATTTTTGATTGGCCATGTTAATTGTGGTTCTGTCAGGGCACTGAGTGAAGCCCAAGTAGACAATGCGATGCACATACCTGCCAGGAGGCCATATATTCTTACATATCACATGACTCCCAAATTTGCCATAAGTCTCTCATGTGGAAAATTTCTAAGTGCTTTTCAAAACTGACATCCACTGCACTTCATGTACCCTGAAGTTATTACTTCAAACGAATTCTGCACAACCGACTAACCACAACCTGTTCTTTCAAAATCCATGCTTCAGTTGATTCAGATTACTCAAAGCGCTTAGTAATTTCATCTGGCATTTTGACAGTGGAGTAAAGGCCGACCCATAAGGTCAAATTGATACCATTCACAGAAACCCTCACGTTCCCTTCCTGGACTAACATTTCCTTCTGCAGCTATCCATCAAAAACACCTGCAAGGTGATAAAACATCCCAAGGTGCTTCATAGTTGCATTTATTAAACAAAATCTGACACCATCCCACTTTGTTACTACAGATAATCAAAACTTTGATTGAAGTGGTGAGGTTTTAAGGGATGAATTAAAGGAAGAAAGCAAGAAGTAACCTGATTAATTGTTGAATCCTCTGACACAATCCACAAAATATGGAGTTAAAGTTACAGTCTAGAATCTTCAACAATGACTGTTGTGTTGCAGACTGTTGTATCTGTTTAAGCAGATTCCAGTGTCAGCCACCTGAAAAGTTGCTATTAAGTGCTGGGATGAATAGAGACATTATCACTAGGTGACTGCCTCAGTTCAGGACAGTTTAGCAGAGAAGTGACAAGGTACAGAGATCTCACTCACTGCACAGTGGCAGCACACGCTCTTACAAAAGCTTTCTGTTCACTTCCTACAGGTGGGAGGTTGATCCTGACTATTGCGAGGAAGTCAAACAGACTGCCCCTTACAACAGCGGCACCCGGCTTCTCGATCTCATCGACATGACTATTTTTGACTTCCTTATGGGTAACCAAGTTTGCTTTTTTTTCTAAAATTAGGGAGAAAGAAATACTTGTATGGGGAGGTGACGGCATAGTGGTATTATCGCTGGATTGACAATCCAGAAACCCAGGTCATGTTCTGGGGACCAGGGTTCAGAACCCACCACAGCAGATGGTGGAATTTTAATTCATCACAATTCTGGGATTAAGAGCCTAATGACAAACATCAATCCATTGTCAATTGTTGGAAAAGCCCATCTGGTTCACTAATGTCCTTTTGGGAAGGAAACTGCCATCCTCACCTGGTCTGGCCTACATGTGACTCCAGACCCACAGCAATGTGGTTGACTCATAAATGCCCTCTAGGCAATTAGGGATGGGCATTAAATGCTGCCTAGCCAAGATGCCCTCATCCCATGAATGAATTTTAAAAAATTATATAGCACCTTACATGGCATGGCTAAGATATTTACAGCTAATGAAGTCCTTTTGAAGTGCAGTCACTGTTGAAATGTGGGCATCAAGGCAGCAGTTGACACACTGCCATGTGATAGTGTCCACATCTGTTGTCGTGGTGTTGATTAACGAATAAATATTGACCCAGGACATCAGAGAGAACAGCTGAGTTGTATCTGCAAGGGGCACTCTCACTGCAAATGCAGCTGCACTGTATCTGATGTCACTGGTAATGATGCCCCAGGTAGCTTCCTGCGTTAAAAAAACGTAATAAATCAAAATGCATTTTAATAATTGCAGCACCAATCAAATTTGCTCATTTTCAAATGTTTCGCAGACATGCAGACTCTTAACCATATCCTGCCAGTCTAATAGCATCGTTAAGGATTGTGGTTTTCAGGGAATTTTAAACCAAGGCACCAGTCAAAATTCCTGGGAATGCAATTTGCTAGCTGCTCCACTGCCAAGCCTGAGATTGCCTTACTCAGCACTTCACTCACTGCCCCACATGCTGTCTCACGGTCCGTTCAGTTCCTGACCCCTCCCAGCCTCTGTCCTGTTCACGGAGCTGAACCCTCAGTTCCATATGAAGCAGGGTAGTAAACTGGACTGAGGCAGAGGGGTCCAGAATGGCATGGCAAGTGAAACAGATAGCAAATAGATGGCAAGCATAGAGATGGCAAACCAACATCACACTTGCACCTCGGGTGCCATCATCCTTCCAGCTCTACAATAACTGCACCATTGTCATTGTTCCAGTACATTCCAGGAGGTACTCTGCAGGAGAACTCACCTGCTCTTTAAAGTAGTGCAATGGAATTTTTTACAACAACCTGAAAGGGCAGCTATCACCTCAGACAACACAGCTCGTCATGAGTACTGCACTGAGACTGTTAGCCTTGATTTTGATGAGCTCAAGTCCCAGAGTAAGTCTTGAAGCCACAACCTTCTGACTCAGAGCTGAACATGTGGCCCACTGAGAAATGGCCGAAAGGTTCAAGAGACCTTTGTGTTCTGTAGGTAAATTGGTACAGACGCTGAACAGAAATATAATTCTCAATCTGTGCTGAAACAATTAATGGCACGTAGACCGCAGGAATAGGAGAAGGTCAATTAGCTCTCAAGGCTGTTCATTTATGTGTTTCACTTGATTCCATGACTGTTAATCCCTTTATAACAAATATTTACCATTCTCAGTTCCGAAATTTTAATTGACCCTATCTGCAGTAGCTTTCAGGATGTGGTTGCCAACATTCCAAAGTGACCTGGAATTTGCAAGAATTGTAGATTAATCTCCAGGATATCTCCTCGAGTGAGTAAAAGCCTGGGGAAAAAAAATCAAGATGACTCTGAAGCAAATTGTGTGGCCTTTGTTTCATTTTCCTTGAGCACGTCCTTAGTTGAAAAAGAGTTCTGACATAAGAAAAATGGACTGTTTGACAATCAAGAAGCATCCAAACAGATAATTGAATCCGCCTTCCAATCAGAAGGGAATGGAAGGCGGGGTTCTGTAAGGATGGATACATTAGGGAACCAATCAAAGGTGGTTACAGCCAGTGAAATTGGCAGCAGTTAATCATTTAATGAAACCCAGTAGTTAGCCCAACATGAACCAGTCATCCCAGCTGTTAGTCAAGAGGCTCCAGCTTGCCTTGCTCATCCCTAGAGGCAAGAGCAGATCAGACTGTGTCCACACCTGACCTATATTCAGTAGTTCCTGTTGGAAAGTCAGGCATGAGGTCAGGGTGGAGCATGTCGGCAGAACACCTCTCTCCATCTGACAGGCACCATCAGAGCTTCCTCAGGAGGATTGCTGGGTATAGGGATGTCGCACCAACCCTGAAGCAGATGAGACCAAGCCAGGACTGGTTCCGTGGTATCAGACATGTGATCTACTTCAGGAACAAAAACAGAAGTTGCTGGAAAATATCAGCAGGTCTGCCAGCATCTGTGAAGAAAAGAAAGTTCTGAGGAAGGGTCACTGGATCTGAAATGTTAACTCTTGATTTTTTTTCTTCACACATGCTTCCAGACCTGCTGAGCTTTTCCAGCAACTTCTGTTTTTGTTCCTGATTTACAGCATCCGCAGTTCTTTCATTTTTTTATAATGTGATATATGTATATGTCTGACTGCTTTCCTGTTCCATACTCTTCCAGGAAATATGGATCGGCACCATTATGAAACTTTTGAAAAATTTGGAAATGATTCATTTATTATTCATCTGGATAATGGACGTGGGTAAGGATTGACATCAGATACTGCCTACTGATTTAATAAGTCAGAATCTGAGTGTGTGTGTGCATGAATATGTTTTCCATGTGCGTGCGTGCATTTATTTGTGAACACAAATGTCTAGGCATATATATGTGAGCATGGGTGCATGGCCACACAAACTAGTGGATGTTTGAGTGTGAACGTGTGTGTGCCTAATAGCTGCCTTGTCTATCGCTCAAGCAGAGTTGACATGACTGTTATCACGATGCTGTCCTGGTTACAGTCTACCTCCAAGAATCTGTTTAAAAAAAAAACAGGCCACTTGCCTGATGTATTTAGTGACACTGTAAGACACAGGAAGGTGTCTTAATCAATCGACACTTTGTGCTGAGCAAGTTGGTCAAGGAAAGAAATTCACAGGGATTTGTAAAAGAATTAGAAATATTTCCATGCTAAAGCAGGACAGGGTTTAAGGGCCACTTGACTGCTGTGGATGGTCAGAGCTCCGGTCTGAAGTAATCTGCCCCTCTTCAACACCATTGAAAACAGCCTATGCCTTCTCTCACATGCACACGAGACCAATGGCAATATCATGAATTTCGATGTTGTCTTTCGGAAAGTTAGTCCCAGAAGTTTTATTGTTCTCTCTGGATTCTGCCCAGAGGCCAGGGCAACACTGTCCCAACCAAACCCTCGAGGGGCTGCTAAGTTAGGTCTTAGAGTCAAGTGGAAGGAACTGCATGACAGACTACTCTAGAGCCTTCAGGGACAGGTCCGTGCATCACCTAATCCATCATTTTGTTTTAAATCCATTCTGGGTAGACGGGCATCATTGGCTAAGCCAGCATCTATTACCATCTCTAATTGCTCCTGAGAAGGTGGTAGTGAGCTGTCTTCTTGAACCACTAGCGTCCCAGGGTGTGGGAATAACGATGGTGCTGTTAGGACTGGAGTTTCGGGATTTTGACCGAACGACAGGGAAGGAACAGAGATATAGTTCTGTGTCAGGATAGTGTGTAGCTTAGAGGGAAAATCGGTGTTCCCATGTAGCTGCTGTTCCTTATTGTTTTCGATGGCAGAAGTCTCTAGTTTGGTAGATGCTGTCAAAGCAGCCTTGTTCAGTGACTGCAGTGCATCTTGTAAATGGTACACACTCCATGTTGGGAGTAATGGTAGTGAATGTTGAAGGTACTGGATAAGGTGCCAGTTAAGCTGTGCACTTTGTCCTGTGTGATGTCAAATTTTATTGCATCCTGCTGGAACTGCAACCATCCAGGCAAATTGAGATGATTCCATCACCTTCCTGACTTGTGCCATGTGGACAGTCACTGGGGAATCAGAGCACAGTCAATGGTAAACCCCCAGTTTAATGATAGTGGGAGATTCAGTGATGATCGTGTCATTGAACGCCAAGGGGCAGTAATTAGATTCTCTGCTGTTGGAGATGATCATTGCCTGGCACTTGTGTGTGGCATGAATGCTATTTGCAAACTTATTAGCCCAAGCCTCTTGTCCAGATCTTCCAGCCTATGGCTACGCACTGCAGGATTTAATGAGTCACAAATGATGCTGAACATTGTGCAATTGTGAGCAAATATCTGCACTTCTGAACTTATGTTGAAGGGAAGGTCAACACAGCAGAAACCAAAACTGCACAGCAAGTTATAAATTGCCACTAAGATGGTTTAATCACTGAATAGCTCAGTGGTGACATCAAGCATTATGCTATTCTGATTTATCTATCCTGATCTCACAATGTCCTATCCCTTTTCCACAAGCCAGCAGTTGATAGTTCATCCCTGCTAGGATAAGCAGCACCAGAGAACTAAAGCCTCCAGTATTGACTGAGAGACACAAGGCCATAGCTAAGTACAGGCTGCTTGGACTCATCTCCAGAAGGAAGATGGAAGTAGAGCTGGCATCTACACCTTGTCAATCCTGCATCATGCCACAGCAACAGATTCACTCTGTGCCAGAGCCTTTAGAGAGCCAGAGTACAAAAGTAAGAAAGTTGCATTCAACCTTTATGGGCCTTTACTTATTCCTTAGCTGGATCACTGCACCCAGTTGTGGACACCAGCTTTGTGAGAAGGTTGTCAGAGCCTTGCCAAGGATACAGAGGAGATTCACAAGAACCTGCAATGACTCCCTTCAAACCCTCAGGACATCCCAAAGTCCTTCACAGCCGGTAAAGTGGAGTCACTGTTGTACTCTTGGAAACATAGCAGCCAATGTGTGCACAGAAAGATTCCACAAACAGCAATGTAATCATGATCCAATTATCTGTTTGAGATCATGAAATATAAGAGCAGAAATTGACCAGACTTGCCTTCAAGACTGTACCATCTCTAATAAGAAATCCAAGACCCTGTCTTGTGGGGTCTTGAACAGAGCGAGTTGGTTATGATGGCCTGGTTCAGGATGATCAAGTCAACATCAGACACTCAGCCTATGTTAAGACTGGGATAAAGAGTAGCCAGGATACCAGAGAGAACTATGTGCTCTTCTCTGAAACAGTGTGGTGGGAATGTTTACACCCTCCTACAAGAGCCAGCAGAGCCTCGGCATAATGTTTCAGCTGAACAACAGCACTCTCCTCCAGCACTGCACAGGCTATGTCAGAGTTGTGTGTTGTTGCTTGTGTTGTCTCAACCTGGAAGGCTGTTGCATAAACTGTCAGGAGTGTTAACAGTGTTGTGTGAATGTGCAGAGTGTTAATGCTGTGTGCCATGTGAATTATGTAGAGAGTGTGATGTGTGGAAGTGTGTGAAGTGTTAGCACCTTGTGTCTTGTGAACCAAGAGGAATGTTAACATTAAACGCAGGAGCTTTAGCACTGTGCTTTTAGTAATAAAATACTATTATCATGTCTAATGGGTCTCTCTGATAGAAAAGAGGAATTTATAAATTACTTGTAATGCATTTGACTGCATAATACAAACTTTATAGTCTCAGGTGAACGCAGATTTCTTTCATACTCTTGCACAATAATTCTCAACTTGGATACAATAATATAGATGACACATTTGTAGGTGTTACGACCTATTTTCATTCAAACCTATCCCAACAGCAACAATTGTTAGAATTTCTGCAAAAATATGTAAGAATCTGAGAAACAAAAGCAGGGGGAGACCATTCATAGAAAATAGATCATATCATGGTTGATCATGTTTCATTGAGATCACTTCTCTTTGCTTAAACTCCAAGGAATATAGGGCTAGTCCACTTAATTAGTCCTCTTAGGACAATACTCTTATCCCAGGAATCAGTTTAATAAACAAAGTAACCTTTGTGGCATTCTCCCTATGGCAAGTACATCCCTCCTTAGTTAAGGAACTGCACATAGCACTCCAGCTGTGGTTTAACCAAGGCCCTATCAAACCGCAACAAGACTTCTTTTCACGTACTCCAACACTTCATTGCTAAAATATCATTGAGAACACAGAACATAGAACAGTACAGCACAGTACAGGTCCTTCGGCCCACAATGTTGTGCCGACCTATTATCCTACTAAGATCAATCTACCCTGCATACCCCACATTTTACTATCCTCCATGTGCCTATCCAAGAATCCCTTAAAAGTCTCTAAAGTATCTGACTCCACTACTACTGCCGGCAGCGCATTCCACACGCCGACCACTCTCTGTGTGAAGAACCTACCTCTGACATCTCCCCTGTACCTTCCTCCAGTCACCATAAAATTATGTCCCCTCATAATAGTCATTTCCACCCTGGGAAAATGTCTCTGACTATCCACTCTATCTATGCCTCTCATCATCTTGTACACCTCTATCAAGTCACCTCTCATCCTTCTTCGCTCCAATGAGAAAAGCCCTAGCTCCCTCAACCTTTCCTCATAAGACCTGCCCTCCAGTCCAGGCAGCATCCTGATAAATCTCCTCTGCGCCCTCTCTAAAGCTTCCACATCCTTCCTATAATGAGGTGACCAGAACTGAACACAATATTCCAAGTGTGGTCTAGCCAGAGTTTTATAAAGCTGCAGCATAACCTCATGGCTCTTAAACTCACTTCTTGCCAATGAAAGCCAACACACCATATGCCTTCTTTGCAACCCTATCAACTTGGGTAGCAACTTTGAGGGATCTATGGACATAGACCCCAAGATCCCGCTGTTCCTCCACACTGCCGAGAATCCTGCCATTAACCCTGTATTCTGCATTCAAATTCGACCTTCTAAAATGAATCAATTGCCACCCTAATTTCTCATTGTACCTGCATACTAACTGCCTGTTATTTTGTGTATAACATGCCTCTGTGTGGCAACATTTCTCACTGTCCACCAAATGAAAAGTATTCTGCTCTTCAATTTTCCCCACCAAAGTGGATAACTTCACTTTTTTTCCACATTAGGCAGGATGTTCTCACAATCCTTGTTCAAATTTAAACTTCACCAACTTTGGATAGAAGTAATTAGTCAACAAGAAACAAAAACTAAAATTCATAAAATTTGAACTGAGCACAGTGAAAATTTCCAAGTTTCAACATAACCACCAATTTTGTGATGCGTTGTTCAATTTGCTTTTCCATTATTTCACTCTTTCTTCCACTGTCACCATTTTCAAATTCTGCATCATTAACTATATCAATCTTAAAAATATTTTACGAATTTTGTTGTTATATGCCATTTTTAGTTGGTATGTACATAGAATAGAATTAAATTTATTCATGTTTCAAGTTGCACAAGGACTTCTTGAATGCATAATTCTATTTAACATAGTTTGCACACAGATGTAACCTGTTCAAACCCTTTTATAACCTTCCTTTCCTCCTCTGCACTGCTTACTTTCCCACCTAGCTCTGCCATTAGCCACAAACCTGAATATATAAAATCGCTCCCCTCCTCTCAATATTTGCTAACCAACCTGATCAAAGTTGTAGTTACAAACTTCTGGAGCAGGTAGGACATGAACCCAAGGGGGGCTCATGGCTCAAGGTACAGGCACTACCCATTGTGCCACACTGTGCCTCAAAACATGGAAGGTTTCATCCCTGGATGGTCTCAAACCACCAACCTTTCTGTTAACAGCTAAATGTGCTGACCAACTGTGGCAGACAGACTGAGGCACTCCCCTCTGCTATTTATTTTTTTAATATATCCAGAAGAGCTCTTACACAAACTGAATGTCTTTTTTATCCCATCACCAAATCACCTGTTGCATTTTTCCCCATCTACCAACTACTACCAGTAAATCGTTCATGTTTCCAATTAAATAATTTATGTGCAAAGCCTGTTAAGAGTAAACTCTAAACATTTATACATTGTAAACATTGGGCCCAAGTACACATCCATTAATTAACTACTGGTTAAAGCCTGATACCCTGAAAATGAACCATTTATTCCAATTCCCTGTTTCTGTTCATTAATCAAACCTTATTCCATGATGATATTTGACTTGTAATCTCATGAGCCTTAATTTTGTGTTGCTAGCCTTCTCTGTTGCAAAAGCTTTTCAAAACTCAAAATGCACTACTTCCACTTGTCCCCCTTTGTCTACCATGCAAGTTATAAACTGAACACTTTTATTAATTTTTCTTCCTTAAATTGACATTGACTCTGCCCTGGTGTTCTCGATCTAAGCTGTGCTGGAAGGTGAATGGAAAAATCAATTACAGAAATAGCCTCCCACAGATGAAGTGAGAGAGAACACATTTTGACTTTAGCACAAGAAATGTTACTCTGCCCTCATGTCATAACGTGAACAAAGTGAAATGCTATAAATTGGGGTTGGTGTAGCAAGCTACATGCTTACAAATCCTGCTTTGCCACTGACATTTGCACCAGTCTCCATAAACGTTACCATTCGCACCATTAAAATGAAACTAAACTCAAAGCTGTAAACTTTTACAGTGAGCACATTCTGTAAAATGAAAACCTGTCAAGTGGCTGGGAGAACAAGGTGTAGAGCTGGATGAACACAGCAGGTCAAGCAGCATCAGAGGAGCAGGAAGGCTGACGTTTCGGGCCTAGACCCTTCTTCAGAAGGGTTGTGTATATGTGTCATTGCTTCCAAGTTCCAATAGTGACTGCTGTGCTCAAACCTCAGAGGTCTACATAGCAGCCAGAAACATTACAGTGAGCAGAGCTCCATCCAGTCTTATCCCTGGTGACCTGTTGACATGTCCCAAATTAGAATCTAGCATTTTTCCCAACTGTTGATGTCCAGTTGTTTAAAGCTCTGTGTCAAGATGTAGTTTTACTGAACAACTTTCCTGAATGTGAGGAAGAGTGCTTGGAAATGCATTCACACTTTCTAATGTTGTGATGCCCTCCCACAGGTTTGGGAAACACTCACATGATGAGCTCTCCATCCTGGTGCCATTGAATCAGTGCTGCAGGTAAGTGCAGAACGTGAGTGATCTGCCCTGCTGACCTTCCTGTGTCCAACCTGTCTACCCACAATTCAGAGTCCATGCAAAAATCCTTCATTCTAAATTAAGAAACGGGTTGAGCTTTGTGTTTGTTTTGATAATGTAAAACTGAACTTATGGATCACGGCAACTTTGAACAAGCTTCACATTGAGAGGAATTAGATTCTGCTTGAAGATATTTTTTGATCAACCTACTCAGACATGTTAGTTTACCCCTCTGGGGCAAGTGGGACTTGAATCTAGAGCCTGGAACAATACCATTGCACCATTTCACATGTATGCGGACAATAACCATCATTTCTTGACCTCCACTGTTGCTAAATAATCAGACTGCTTATCTAAAATCCAGTATCGGATAAAAAGCGATATCCTTCACTTAAAATATTCAGTCCCCACTCCCAAACTACAGACTCCATCCCCCTCACTGATAACAGTCTGAAATCAAGCCAATCCCTTCACAAGTTTGGTATCGGAATTGAAACCCTCAGGTGAACTCCTAATTTTATCTTCGTGCCATCTGTAGGATTACAAATTTCACCGGTGTCACATTGCTTGACTTTGGCCCTCTGTCATGGCACTTCTACTGCTGAAGTTCTATCCATGCCTTTGTCATTTTTCTAGTTGACTGTTCAAGCACAACTCTGGATTGTTTCACACATTTGCTGTTAACTTGAGATCGTCCCAAGATTCCTTGTCCTAAAACCGAAATGTTCACTGAGCCACATTAGCTGCCAATCCAGCAATGTCATGATTTTGAAATTCTCATCCTTGTTTTCAAATTTCTCCAGGCTTTGCCCCTCCTTATCTCTGTAATCTTCTCCAACCTCACAAGTCTCTGAGATATCAGCTATCCTCTATTCCTGGCATCTGGTGCAATCCCAGGGATATTTTCTCCACCATTGCTGACTGTGTCTTCCATTGTCTAAGCTCCAAGCTCTGGAATTTCCTTCCAGTCCATCTCAGCCTCTTTATCTCACTTATCTTCTTTAGGACGATCCTAAAAATATATCATTTTGACCAGGTTTTTGGTTATCTGACCAAACATCTCCTTGCGTAGCTTATTGTCATTCTTTTGAAACGTCTTTCAGTACATTAAAAGGCTATGCAATTAAAAGTTGTTCTTTTTGTTGCTGTTTTCAGTTACCTAGATCTCTGGGGCAAACAGCACAGCAGTCTTCCAATTACAGTAGTGAGTTGGTCATGAGATGTGTCAGCGTTAGAGTAGAGGGTTACTGTGTACCAAGTTCACATTGGTTCACAGAAGTCATTATATGTCTCTGATGCATGGAGGCCATTATGGTACAGGGGTCATTAAACAGAAAGGTCAATACAATGCATGAAGTCACCTCTGCGGTCAATGTCCTCCCTTAAATACTTCAGGCATCCTATTGTTCAGCTCCCATCAGACCCTGGACATCGTTTTGAGAGAGACATTAAACACAACATCAGGTTGCACATGGATGCTGAAGCACTGACCTACATCTCGCCACCATCTCTCTCTCTCTGTCCTTCCACTGCCTTTCTACTGACACACAGCTTGACCAATGCCCAATTCCTGATGAACAACTACCGCATTCATTTGAAGCAAACCTATTGTCTTGATCGTTTGGCACAAAACTCTATTTCCTTTCCATTTGACTCCAGCCCCCACCTCCTCAGGCCCACATACCGAGAGTCAATATGATCAGGCTTCACAAGAACGCGAGTATCTCAGATTTACACATGAGAAAGCCCTGACGTATTTCACAGGAAGAGAATTTGGCACTGAACCATATAAGGTGATGACCTAGTGGTATTATCACTAGACTGTTAATCCAGAGACCCAGATAACGTTCTAGAGACCCGGGTTCGAATCCCACCACGGCAGATGGTGGAGTTTGAATTCAATAAATATCTGGAATTAAGAGTCTAACGATGACCATGAATCCATTGTTGATTGTCAGGAAAAACCCATCTGGTTCACCAATGTCCTTTAGGGAAGGAAAATGCCATCCTTACCTGGTCTGGCCTACATGTGACTCTAGACCCACAGCAATATGGTTGACTCTTAACTGCCCTCTGTGCAGTTCGGGATGGGCAATAACTGCTGCCTAGCCAGCAACACCCTCATCCCGTGAATGAATAAAGGAAGGAGAAGTCAGGATGGGTGACAAAAAGCTTGGCCAAAGAGTATTAAGGGGCTTACAGGCTGGCCAGTGGAGAACCGCTTAAAATTGGGAGTTTGTGAGAGGCCGGAATGAGAGGAATTCAGATATTTTGAAAGGTTGTGGCGCTGAAAGATGTTACGGGGGGAAAGGCTGAGTGGATGTAGGGTTTTGAAAACAAGGATGAGATTTTTAAAAATCTAGCCATTGCCATATAAGGTAGATCAGTGAGCACCATGGGGCGATGGATGAAGGTACATGGCAGGATATGGGCAGCATAGCTCATGTCTGGGGCGATACCGTTGTTGACCCCGTTAATTGTTAAATATCTGCAGTCAATGGCATTGCTTCTGTCTGACAGAATAAAGGAATCGACATACCGCCGGCTACAACTCCTGGCTAAAGAAGAGTACAAGCTGAGCGAGGTGATGGCAGAGTCACTCGAACGGGATAAACTCTCACCCATTCTGATAGAGCCGCACCTGAAAGCCATGGACAGGAGGTTACGAATCATTTTAAGATCAGTCAGCGACTGTGTGGAAAAGGAAGGACGAAGTGCTGTGGTGGAGAACGACATAGACTACGATTTCAATTCAATCGCGACCAATAGGTAGTAGAGGGAGGGTGACGTCCTCTTTTTTTAACTCGTGTAAGTGAGAAATGGAAAGTCTTACCGAGACTGGCTATTTATGTTACTTTTTGAATTCAGTGAATTCAGAACAGAGATGTAATTGTTCCCAAATATGTAAAGTATAGACTCCATCCCAGATTATTATAACTAAAGTTTCTAAGTTAAAGCATTTATTTGTTTTTCTCGATGATATCCAGTTCTGAGATGTGAATATTGAACAGGTAGGAGTGTGCAATCCCAAAACCGAAGAATTTTTCAAATAGATATATATATAGAGAGAGAGAGATTATATATAAAGAGGAATCATGCTAATGAGTGAAAATACTTGAAAGCTGGTTAAACTGATTTGAGCAACCTGGGCATTGCTCATTCCGAAATGAGGCAGCAAAGCTGTAATGTCGATTCTCCTTCGAACCTTCCGGCACACGTCGAGCAGCCACTGCCAGCTTTGCTTTTCAAGTTCTTTAGTGTACAGGTACAGGCTGGTGAGCTGGTTTCTTGTGGCTGTAGGCTTTTGCATTCGCAGTGTTCTCAGAGGGGGGTGGGCGGGTGTGCGGTTTGTGGTTAATGTTTTTGCGATACGGTGAAAGTGCAATAAAGATTATGGCAACAACTTGTGTCTGGTCTGCATCGCGAGATTAATTCGGTGGGGCAGTGGGAGATTGCGGGACAGGCTGTTTGGTGGCGCTTGGACAATTCTCAAAGAGCAAGGTCTTCAAAGGTCAGATGGGCCCTAACTAAAGCTGCTGCCCCCAGTGTCCTGTCCTACGTCCCACTGGTGTACAGCCCCATTGTGGCCAATTGCCCTCTAACCCTTCATCCAAGAGGCTACTGAAGATCAAAAGGATATTGGCAATTTGAAATGATAAGATCCCACAGCACGGGAGAAGGCCATTCAGTTTATCAAGTCTCTGCAAGCCCTTTGAAAAGGGTATCCAGTTAGTTCTGAGACAACAAGGTGCAGGGCTGGATGAACACAGCAGGCCAAGCAGCATCATAGGAGCAGAGAGGCTGACGTTTCGGGCCTAGACGCTTTGTTGTCTCGGATTCTCCAGCATCTGCAGTTCCTACTATCTCTCCAGTTAGTTCTGTTTCTTTCTGTTCTGTTTCCATGGCCCAACGAATATTCACTTTTCAATATTTTTTACTGATTATCTTTGGACTGTTGCTTTCAAATCTGCTATAATTGAATCTCTTGCTGCTGTTACTATTTACTATTATTACTTCTATTAAATCTGTTATGCTAGATGCTGGATCTCAACAACTTGGGTAAATGGAAGTCTCCTCATTTCTGAACCTGGTTCTTCTGTTGATTACTAAAATCTGCATCCCCTGGTTTCAAATCTTATACTAATGGACACATCTTCTCCCTATTTGTTCTAAGGAAGCTCTTCATAGTTTTGAATGTGTCTCATAAATATCCTCTTAACCTTCTCTTGATCAGGGAGAGCAATCCCAGCTAGTCCAATCTCTTCACATATTTGAAAAGCCTCACTCCTGGGATCATGTTCAGAAAGTACCTCTCTAATGCCTTGACATCCTTCCTGAAAGGTTTTACCTTAATAGTTATGTGTACTTGGCAAACATCATTTGGCACTATTCTCAGGGGATACTTGCCAGGATCAGGGCCCTTGGTGAATTACAGCTTCTCAGTTCTAGGGCCAATGAAACAAATAACAACAATCTGCCTTCATGTAGCACCTTTGAAACAGCAAAACATGCCCAGTTGTTGACAGGAAAATGACCAAATAAAAGCTTTTATGGAGCGATACACGGTGATATTAGGACAAGTCATCAACAACTTGGTTAGAGTGGAAGAAAATGGAGACTATGTTGAAGAAAGAGAGTTGAAGAGGCAGTGAGATTCATTTTCACGTTTAGGGCTGAGGTAGCTGAAGGCATCATTACCAGCATTGGACTCATTCACATCAGGGAAACTCAGATATTCAGATTTGAAGAAGTGAAGAGATCCCAGGAAGGCTGGAGGAAATTGCAAAGATTAGACACAGCAAAGGCCATAGAGGGATGTAAAAACAAAGAGGAGAACTTTATAATGGAGGCAGCTGAGATGAATGTACTCAGGTTTGGAATGGGTTTGAACCCAAATCCTTCCTGGGAAGTGGAAAGTTTCAGGATAAATTTTAATCCATGATCTGTGCCCCTCCATTCCCCCATCCTGTGTTTACAACATCCACCAGCCTCCTGATGCCTCCAGTCTTCACATTTTGTCTTTCTACCATTGGTAGTGCAGCCTTCATTGTATTTGTCCCCATCCCCGAAAACAACCTGCCAAAATGCTTCGACATCTCAACATCCCTTCCTGCTGTGATAAGGCCATCTGGTCAAGCAAGCTTCTGCTCAAAGTTAGCTATCTCTTCCTCCTTTCTCTGAAGCATTTTGTGAAACATATCTTTGGGGTTTGGAATGTTTAGTTTGGATGCTGCGGCCACTGTGATCACAAGGCCAAACTCTCTGGTCTTTTCCATATATTCTTCAACATAAAATATCTATACAAACCATTTTTTGATGCCATCTTTGCCACAACCTCTCAGTACAGATTATAGCAAAGAATGAATTGTAAGGGAAGCATTTGTCATAGTTTATCCAACAACAGGGGGCTGTTGCTAATATTGCCAGACAAGATGCCCCTGTAACAAAGATGTAAAATCTTCTGTTTCTTCAAAATGCCCCTTGGCCAGTCAATGTTACCCTGTAAAATACAAATCACCTTTGTCATTATTTACCTGATGAGTGCAACTCCAACAATGCTCAAGGAGTTTGACATTATCCAGGACAAAACAGCCCAGTTAGCCCTCCATCTGATACCTTCAGCATTCACATCCTCCACAACTGGTGCGTGGTACAAGATACTGCAGTGACTTGCCATGACTCCTTCAGAATACGACCATACACAGAAATAACAATAAAAGTAATAATAAAATACAGCACTTTCCAAAAGGAAGACATACAGGACACAGACAGGATGGGCTGAATGGCCTGTGCTGTATCAGTCCACATTTGTTTTGCATGAAGAGACTTGATAAGGGTCTTCAAAATTATAAGGACCTTGATAGGATGGAAGTGGAGACACTGTTTGCACTTGTGACACCACAACAAATGGGGCTATAAATATAAAATAACCATTTACAGATCACATAGACAGTTTAGGAGGGTCTTTTTTATGGAGAATGGTGAAAACGTGAACCTTATTGCCACGTGGAAGCACATAGGATTTGTGCATTAAGGAGAGGCTTGATGCGTATATGAGGAGGAAATGAATATATTATAATGGAACAGAGTAGGAGAGGCACTAAGTGCAGTTGGAGAATCATGTGGAGTGTATACACATGCATTATACAGTTGGGCAAATTGGCCTTTTTCTGATTGGTCGTTTGACGTACTTGGAATGACCAACATGTATGCCATGAGCTGACTGGCCTTTCCAGTCCCTAACACCGAGATACTGACAGCTTCCATGAACATGGATGGAACTCCAAAATGAGGTGCAGGCAGTAGTTTAGCCCTTATACACCAGCCAATAATGAAACTAATCCAGAGCAATTAATACATTCTAAGGTATAGAATCTTTCAACACAGAAGGAGGCCATTCAGCCTATCATGCCCATGCTAGCTAACCCTTTGGAAGAACTATCCAATTAGTCCCACTCTTCTGCTGTCTCCACATCACCCTGCAAATTTTTTATATCAAGGAATTATCTAATTTGCTTTGTGTCAGGAGATTGCAATTTGTAACTCATTAAATGAGAAGGACTTTTCCTAAATCCCCCTCTCGGGTTCATTTGCCAATTATCTTTGATGTCAATGGAAGCAGTTTCCCCCTCACCAACTCTATCCAAACCCTACATCATTTTGAACACATCCGAGGCAGTTTAAAGTAATGCAAATGCATGGGTCATAACTAGAGACTGAAATCAAAACATTCCTTTCACTGGTCAGAGCAAAAACAGCCAGGGGCTGAAGTATGTTTTATACACACAAATAAACCACAGAGACTTGGGGCCTGGCCAGCCAAGAGTGGCTGTAGATATAAAGGGCTTTTTTAAACATTGCAACATAAAGTGAAGTGGGGGAGGTGCTGTTCTCTCAGCTTTCAAGCACATAGACATACATGCCCATTCACACACAAGCACATCCACACAGACACACACCAAAAGAGACATATAGGCAGACGCACATAGACACATTCACACAGGCACAACACATGCATAAGAATACAGAAACATACAAACATGCACACATGGAACCACACTCACAAATGCACATGTACACACACACACTACCTTCTGTTGTGCGAGTGAAGTAATCCATGAAGAAACACACAAACCTTCTCATTTCAGACAAAATCTGCCTACTCGAAGAAAATGTCACATTTTAACATTTTGCTTTGGACTTCCAGCAAACTGCACATTAGAATAACATCCAGACTAGGGTCTAATCAAAGAGCTTGATGCAGCCCATATGAAATATAATGGATCACAGGGAGTGAGTTACAGGCTGGAATCTAATTGAGAGCTTCAGATGGTTTATGTAAGAAATAATGGGTGAATTACAGGCAGAAGCTCAGTTGATTTATACAGAGAATAATGGATATAATTAAGAATGATTACCAGGCAATAATCTACTTGAGCAGTTCAACTGATATCAAAAAGTACAACTGCAAAGCTTAAATGGTTTATAACTGTCATCTGAACTCAGTGATGGATTGTAATCTTGAATCTCCCTCAGGGTTCCTGCTATTTCTTATCAAGAAATGCAGATCATATACTTGTGGCTGCTTTGCTTAGTTACATCTGATAATTGCCCTCAATGATGTCCAATGCAGAGCCGACATTGGGATACAGTGAGAGAGGTGGGTAGTCATTAGCACCATAATGTTATTGTTCTCTGCTCTGTAATCCCTTGTAAAAGGGTTCTATCTGGGCAGAAAACCTGCCTGTTTCATGCTCACCACCCCTTCGTAATAACAGCAAAGTACGCTGAAAATAAAAATGCTGGCAAACTCTCAATGAGCCTGTGAAGAGAGAATCAATTAATGTATCAGGTTGATGGCCTTGCTTCAGCCAAAATGTAACTTTTGCCATATTCTTTAGACATTTCAGCTCATCCTCTACCTCTCCTGCCCTCCCTAGTCCCAGTTCAACTGCCGAAATAACCTTTGAGTTGGAGTCCGCAACTGGTTTTCAGGATTTACCTATTCTTCAGCTTCATTCAGCTGAAACAGGCTTGAGAAGGCTGAATGGCCTTCCCTGCTCCTTTATTCTCAATGACTAGCCTTTGGTGCTGGGGGTAAAACACACATGTTAGCCCACTTTCTAATCAAGGCAATATTGCATGTTTAACTCGTGTCTTTGGTATCCCAGGTTAACCCCTTGATAATGCATTGGTAGCAATGCTTTGTAGACAAAAGTTTTCGGGCCATAATTCTATTATCCACCACCTACAAGGCACAAGTCAGGAGTGTGTTGGAATACTTGCCTGGCTAAGTGCAGCTCCAACAACACTCTAGAAGCTCAATACCACCCAAGAGAAAGCTTGATCAGCGCCACAATGACCACCCTAAACATTCATTCCCTCCAGTACTGGCGCACAGAG